TGGTTAGCCAGGTGGAGACCCCATAATTCATCACCCCCCCCCCCCCCCTTCCTTTTGTGTCAGGTGGCTCTGTCCTAAAGCCACACAAGCTTTCCCTTGGTGACGTCATTTTGGCAATGCCAGCAGAAATTAGTGTGACGGGGCTTTTATTCAGATGCAAGTGATTCTGGAACAAGATTATCTTCGGATTATCTTTCCCTTGCTGGACTGTACCAAACATCCAAGAGCCGTCTATTCTCTGGGGGTGTGTTATAAGGTCACCGCACTAAGGCCTGTTTGATCCACTCCGCGCCATTGAAAATCAACTTTTATTCTGAGCAAAGCCTGCCTTCCTTTAATTACTTAATATTAGTCTTCTTTTGTGTGCAGGCTGTGTACGGTGCGAATTTAGCGTTTGGCTATGTGGCTATGAGAACCAGCATCACAGTGGTGCCCCGTTCGATGGGGAGATGGATGCCATGGGGCATCCCAGGAACCAGCTGGGATTTAGCCGGCATAATCCTTCCTGGGAATATTTACTGGGGTGCCTGACAGCTGTGGGTAGTGCATCTGATTTACTTCAGATTAGTTTGGATTGATGCCAGGCATCATCCAATCAGAGGGACTGTTTATTTTGTTTTTTTGTTTTTTGTTTGTCCCTGCCCCTGTTCCACTCGGCTGCTAGAACTGTGGATGGTTCCGCTCCCCTTCTTCCTCGTTCTCCTTTTGCGCTGTTTCTAAAGAGCTCCCATCCCGTCCAGCTAACCAATGAATGGCGAGTGATAGGACCAGGTAGGGTCAGGACCACCAGGTAGGGTCAGGACCACCAGGTAGGGTCAGGACCACCAGGTAGGGTCAGGACCACCTGTGGAACCTTCACCTCTACATGGACGGAGATCTGTAAGTATGTGACTGTTTCTTGTGGGGTGATGTCGTGACCTACCAGTCGGTCGTGGATCCTCCTCCGGAGCGAATCCATGTTTTTTCTTTGCCCTCCTCTAATTAGTCGTGCTTGGCAGGTGAGTCTGTCTGGGATGAGGCTAGCGGGAAAAGACAGGACCGCTGATGGAAACGCCATCCGCTCTGTGGAAACACTGACCTCATTCCGACTGCTATAAATGCTGCTTGCTCGTTTTAGGCTTGGTGCTGCATCTCGTACCTGAGCAGACTTTGCAAGAAAAAAAAAACACACACACACACACACACACACTGAGAGACAGTGATGAGAAGAATGACCAAATAAGAAACTTTACGTAACTGCGAACTGCGTGTCTATGTCTTGTACCCTGTTGAGTTTGGCACATTTGCGTTCTGTAGGATTCTGGTGTCTCTTCTGCAGTAACTGTAGGGTGCGTGTCACTGTAAAACTGTGACAGCTAGTTTGGGGTTTTTCAACGGAATCAGTGGCTTGATTTGTCACATGAGGCACGCAGAACAGGTCCGTGTTTCACCCTAATAACATGGGCGATTCTAGGATTTTTTTTTTTATGGTGAGAGAGGGGCAGGGGCATAAGCAGGGTCTTAGCTCATACAGAGGAGCCAACCATTATTAGCCAGTGTCTGTGTGCCCCCACCCCTATATACATCCCGGAGTGTGACTGCTTGGATCTGGCCTCCACCAGTCTAACACCATTCCTGTCTATAGTCCTGGCTATATCTGCTTGAGTGTTGTTCGCACTTAACTAACAGACCTGTGCTCTTGTTCTATCCCTAGCATCCTACTTTATTATGTTAAAATACCTAAATAATTTTTGTGCAAATGGTCGCTGCTTGATCCTGCTGAGATGTTGCACACTATATTGCAGGCTGTTGCTGATATTTCCCTTTATTCTGTACTTTATTAGTACTGTACATTGCTGTGGCTATCTGCACATCCTTTCCTGTCGCACAATCTATTCCATGCATTGTCACTACTCATATTGCACTGCCTCATCCCTTCGTGCACTGCCTCATCTCTTCGTGCACTGCCTCATCTCTTCGTGCACTGATGTCTTGTCCAGGCACATGGGTGGGGGTTGAAAGTGAAAGTGAAAGTTGAAAGTGCCTTCTGATGTTCCAGACCAGTGTTTCCCGATCCGGTCCTCGGGGACCCATAGGCAGTCCACATTTTTTCTCAATTTTGTTTTGCAAAAATGTGGACTGTCTGGCAGGGAGCTGGAAGGGAGTAAAAACATGGACCGTCTGTGGGTCCCTCACACTGGGTTGGGAAACGCTGTTCTAGATGCCTCTTATCAATAACCGACGATCAATGCAAAACTTACTGAGAGGATCCCCCAACACGATCAGGGAAATTAACAGAGGAGAACCACTTCTCCCACCAATAAAATGTTCAGGTAGAACCCCTTCATTTGAGCACCTGCCCTTTGAAAATTCTATGCACATGACTGGTCTTGTCCTGCTGTTCCCTCGTGCAGCTATCCCTTCCCCTGCAAGTGCAGCATAAGGACGTTCACACATGCAGCTCTGGAAAAAAATTAAGACACCACTCTATAGTTCTTAAAAATCAGCATTTAAATCCTGGTCTAATCCTGGTTCTGCTGGCAGAAGGCTACACTGTGAGACATGCTGCTTCCAGGCTCAAAAACCAGCCAGGTAAAAGGCAGAAGCAACTTTCCAATGCCAGAGATGACCATAAACTTATCCGGCAGTGCCTCATAAATCGAAGGATGAGCTCAAGTGACCTTCAAAAGGAATGGGAAACATTAAGTGGTGTGAGGTGCACTGCTAGGACAGTTTGTAATCAGGCTCCTAGAAGCAGGACTGGAGTCCCATAAAGCAAGGAAGAAGTCCTTTATTATTAATGATTAGAGCCAGGCTAGAGTTTGCAAAAATATGTGTATTTTCCATAGGTGCATACTCGTAAATTGAGAAATCAGTGAAACTGAAAATTTGCTGTGGTCTCTTAATTTTTTCCAGAGCGGTAAACTTGAAGCTTGGAAAGGGATCTTCACCAGTGCAATGTAGCAGGACCCTGTCTCAGGGTTGGTAGCACCTCTGCCGGTCTTCCTCCTCCTTCCCCTCTTTTCTGTCACCCCCGCAGGTGATCTGGGTATGCAACCTGTGCCGCAAGCAGCCGGAGATTCTCACCGGATCGGCTCGCCGGGCACCGGGGCAGGGTTCCGATCCCTCCTTGGCGGACGTGGCCAAGAGTGACCCGGGCATGTGCGGCGACAAGCAGGAGCTCCACAATCCACGGAACCGTCTGTCAGAGATCGACGCCGGACCTGACCCTGCTCGAATGGACCCCCCCGGCTGTCGTTCCCGGAGCGAGCCCCCGAGGGGAAGGTGCGTCAGCTGCTCCCCACCACGGCAGGTGGCCTGCTTGTTGATTTGCACTGACTCGTTATGACTCACACTGACTCACACTGACTCCAGCCAGTTGCATAGTGTAATCAGTTATTCCGCTGATTGTAATGCTCTCTCTGAAAGGGATTGTGCCAGCCTCACAATGGTATAAATCTGGGAGAATAAAACCCAAATGCCTTTCTCTCCATTTTAAACCCAAAATGAAAATTCTCTCTTGCTGAGATTGCATTTTGTAATATGATTTTTAATCGCAGTTTATCTGATCCTCTTTTAAATGTTGTAGCTGGTCTGAATAAGAAGCCAGGTCACACATCTAATCCGGGTGCAAATGGACATGTCCTCTTTGGTCTGTTATTTTGTAGGACTTTTATGTTCATATAGCATTTAAAATGATTTTGAGTTTACCGGTAGAAAGTGAGTATGGCCGGAATGTTAAAGAATAGCTTGGTGTAATTCTGTCACAAGCTGGTCCCTCAAAGGCCGTTCCCTCGTTAATGAAGTGGTGTCTCGTTAATTAGCCGACGTCCCATGACGTGGTCCTGTGGACTGCCGCTCTCTCTCACAGCATCTCGATAATCCGTCATCCTCTCTCATGAGCTGGTATCTCGATAATTTGGCAGTCTGCCGCTAATGACGTGTTTTCTGATGAGGTGCTCATTTGTAGTCCTACCCATGAGCGGCGGTCAGGACCGGCCCAAGGCATAAGCGGATTTTGCGGCTGCTTTGGACCCGGCGGCCACCAGGGGGCCCCGATTTGACCAGCCTGTCTGAATGGGATGGAAGATGATAGCTGAGAACTTGTTTAATCACATTTCGCTTAGACCCCCAAAAAGGATTGGGTGGGTCCTGGCAGAGGTTAACACTCTGGTACTTGGCCCCCGTCCCCAGGAGATTGGCGGAGTCAGCCCCAGAGCAGAGCGAGAAGGCCAGACTTCCCAGAGAGCGGCCAAGGAAACAGCTGCAGAAGGGACACTCCCATGATCTCAGCCACCGCGATGGGGAGAAGAGACCCAGCAGGGAGGACGTGCAGCTCGAGCCCCGCTACCGCAGCAGCCCCCACCTGGAGACATGCCAGCTGGAAGAGGAAGCGAAAGCCCCCATTGGCCGCCAGGAGCGCAGGCGCTGCCACGCAACCAATCACAAGTCTGGTCCCGCCGAAGAGGCGGAGCTTGGAGATGCACCTGACGGCAGACGGGGGGGTGAGAGAGAAAGGACCGTGGCCAACCCAGTCGTGTCAGCGCAGAACCATGTCGACCCAGTATCGCTGCACCTTAGGGAGCCCCCAGACTGGAGCAGAAGGCAGCAAGGTTGCCCCGAGCTCACAGAGGTGCAGGACCACAGGCCACATGGTGCCCCACATGGAAGGGCAGCCAACGTGAGCAATGATTCGCCGGGGATTAACCAATCGGAGTCCCCGCCCGTGCTCCGCCCCTGCAGGGTCAAGCGTGGAGTCAGCAAGAGGCACATGTCTCCCAGCAGCTCAGAGGAAGAGGAGTACGCCAACTGTGATGAAGCAGCGATGAGCAGAACCCCTGAGAGAGGTAAGCGCCATGCTGGACAGCCAAAATGTACAAGCTCTCCACAACCATTTGTCCTGTGGGGTTGGACAATCACACTATGGGTTACTCCATCCCACTATGGGCAGTTCAGACTAATAACATCATCTGTCCATATGAACACGGGGTAAACTACATATACAAACAGCTCATGGTGGGATAGGAACCCACAACCTTATGCATATGAGGCTGCAACACTGCTCGTGCCACCCTGGTCTTTAATCATAATTAAACCCCCTAAAGTGCTGGTGGGTCTTTAGGATGCTGAGTGTGTGGTTAAAAATACATTTTAAGCGTTTTTGCTAATGTCAGACTTTCTTTTGCTAATTAACAGTGCATGAAGGCATTGTGCTACAGTAATTGCAATATGTTCATTTACTATCACTGCACTGTGTTTTGTTAAATAAACTTGATTTGAAATTTTAAAAAGTGGGTCATGACTTAATGACCAAAGGAACAGGTGCGTCCTCAGGTTAAACCAGCTGAGAACCACAGCTCCGAAGTGCTTACCTGAGGGTTAGGGTTAGGGTTAGGGTTAGGGTTAGGTGTGCGATGGGAGCTCATTTCGAGAGCCTGATACAGATCTGTTCATTAAAGAGCTCCCACCCCTGCCTGCTGCTGAGATAAATTAGCATTTATTTCTGGTGCCTCGGTCTGCGGAGACCCTGAGGCAACAAGCAAAACATGAAGTACTTCAGTGTCGTTATCTCTCTTTTTGGGTTTGCATTTGTGTCCAGTGAGAGTTTATTGGGAGTGCGTTGTCACTCTGTAGTGGCCTGGTAAAGCTTCGTTTGAAGTGACGGCTTTCTGTCAGCATGCAAGAGGTCATCCCTTTGTGTACTGCAGTGTATATTAGTGCGGTATTACAGGAATATGGTATGACATGATGTTTTGGGAATACTGCGGGTATTTTTGTTTGGCAAAATATTACCGTTATTAATGTTATCGTGCCCCCCCCCCCGTCTCTTCCCTGGGCAAATTTTATCACTAAGATGTCAAAATACTGGAGTAAATACCGTATATCACGGTAGAATGCCTGGACAGTATATTAGAGTTTAAAATGCGTGTGGGAGTTTTACTTACACAAAAATGTTCTGAGAGCAGAAGGAGAAATAATTGGTTCAGAGAGATAACCAATCAGATTGTAGAGGAGGCAGGTCCAAGCAGCTAGAGGAGGCGTGATCAAGACATCCAGTTACTTGGACCCACCTCTTCTACAATTTGATTGGTTAACTCTCTGAATTCCCATGAATGTTTAAAATGTCCTTAAGATTGTGTTTGCTGGCAGTAACGCACTGAATGTGTATGTTCTCACAATGCTAGACAGTTTCTGAAACGAAATATGAAATGACAGCCTTGCCGTGTGTCTGTGTATAAGTCACAGGCTTCTGTTATCTTGGTTCCAGTCCTGTTCCTCATCCTCTGTCTCTCCCTAAGGAGCCTGGAAGAGCTGTCACCAGGACACAGCACTGTGGCAGGTATGTGGCAGTAAGGGTTAGGTCTCTCTAGCTTTCATCGGAAGGTTGTGGGATCAAATCCTGTGCTGGCAGAGTGATTGTATTTCTGTTCTTATTTGTGTGTCTTATAGAATACTAAGATGATATATGTGAAAACTAAAGAATATCTAATTACCTATACTAGAATTGTAACTTTTTATACTAGAGTTGTTACTAGAACTGTAACTTTTTAGAGTATTTTTAAGATTATCTTTCACTCACTGCTGATTGGCTGAACTTGTCCTTCGCTCACTGCTGATTGGCTGGACTTGTCCATCACCTACTGCTCATTGGCGTGTGCAGAGCTGTCATGGCTCAGCTGTGCTCAGTGCTTGGAGTGTCGTTACTTTTGTCCCTATGTGTGTGTGTGTCGTGTTTGTGTGTATGAGGATCAGGCGGCCTTTAAGGGCACAGAGATGGTTGCTCTGCTGTGGGATTACACGCCTGTCTCCTGCAGCATCCCACATCATGGCAGCCGTCCAAAGAAGGCGATCGTTTAATCGGACGGATCGCTCTGAGCCGCGGGACAGCTCTGTCGGCGGGGGCAGGAGGACAACTGGGCCTCAAGGTGAGGGTGTGAATAGGGAAGGAAGTGAATGATGGCACTGACTGTGAGAGAGAGGCCAAGAGACTGACATCACCGACTAGGTGAGTGACATCATTGGTGGAGGTCATTGACATTTGGGAGTCGGACCTGGGGTGTCTTGCTATTGAGGCAAAGGCAGGGGTGATTCAAGGACTTTTTAAGGTGGGGAGCATAAGATGGGCCATAATTCTTACAGATAGGCCAACCTTATAATTAGCCAATAATATGTTTTGAATCAGTGAATGAAGGATGGGGCATTCGGTGGACCAATCAGCTTTCAGCTATGACTAGTGTCCCTGTAGCCCCGCCCCTGTGTACACCGCTGGCTCGAGGTCACCCGCTGAGATCTCCACTCCTGACGTTCACGCAGGTCGTCGGAGGGAAGGTCACAGAGGCGGGAGAACTGGGAGCCTTCATCACCAAGGTGAAGAAGGGAAGCCTCGCTGACCTGGTGGGCCATCTGCGAGCAGGTCAGGTCCTGGGGGGGGGGTGCTGCCGTAACCATGGCGATACACATCTGTCACCAAACACCAAACGCTGATGCTGGCAGTAAATAGACTCAGTCCTCTGTGCTTCAGGAGACAGGGTCAGCATGGTTCTAAGACAGCATGACTCCTTCTGACTTTGTCTGGTTTGATCTAACAGTATAATTATTATCTATATATATAACAGATGTCCATTCATCTAGCTTCCCAGCAGGGGAAGTTCTGGGGTCAGAGGACATCTACGGCTCAGCCTACAAACTGCAAAAACGATTGTAAGAATAGAACTAGGGCTTTGGCAAAATAATTCGGGACTTCAGCCCTGCAGGTCCGCCCCTGATACCATTCTTGCTTCCCATCACTTGTCAAGTGCTTGATTGGCAGGTGCTGCAGCCTATCCGGGGCAGCCTAGGGTACAAGGCGTGGGGAACACACTGGATAGGATTGATGCCATTAGCAGTATTTTTCCAAAGATGCATATAATCACAACAGTTTTTTTGTAATTTATACAGCTATATCATTTAAGAATGTCATGAGTACAGATAGAGAGTTCCCATTGTTTTGAAGCTTTTTTTTGTATTCCCTGAATTGCTTTGAGCCCGGTACACCACTACAGACATTTATCGCGGTAATTCAAAAAGTATCTGACGGATCTCTTTCAAACTTCTCAGTCACGTTGTATGGGTGAAGGTCTGGAACTGCTCGAATTTTGAGACAAATCGCACCAAAATTGAAGTAGCGCCCCATAGTGGTAGCAAAGAGAAATGCAGCCTCATACACCGTTCTGATTATATTGTGACAAGTCACACAAAGTCGGGCTTTTAATAGAGGTGGTGAGAATGTATGGGGGACTAGAGATGATAAAGTTTGGAGGGTGGAGGAGGAGTAGAGATTATATGGAGAAGGAGGTAACGGGATTGACCGGGGAATACATCGTTAGCGTTCCACCAGCATCTGGTGGTTTTGGTGACTGGTCCAGTCACTTATGCCCTCCATCACCAGCTGCTCCTCATTCCAGGCGACAAGGTGCTGCAGTGGAACGGGAAGTCGTTGGTAGGAGCCACCAAAAAGGACGTCTACAACATCATTCTGGAATCCATAATGGACCCTCAAGTCGAAATAGTCGTCTCAAGACCTGTCAGGTAATTCTGGAGTGCAGTGTGTTTCAGGTACAAGCGAACGGAGGTTTGTACTTTTCGTCCCTGTTTATGTGACGGATGAGGAATAATGTATTAATCGATTTCTTTCCGAAATATCCCCCCGGCGAAGGCTGTATAAAACATATCAGTAAGTAAACCAGAAGCATTGAAACACTTCAGCCTTCTGCTGTTCCTTGATCCCAGTGTCTCCTGTGAGTTTTGACAAAGGTTTGGTCGATTCCCACAGAAAACAATTTCCCCTTATGAAAGATGTGCGTGTTTGTGAATGTGTTTGTGTACGTAAGAAAGGAATGTCTGTACCATCCTGAATGTTTATGATCAATATCTATGTGTTATAATTAAATGTATGTTCTTGTTGTAGAGATGTACCAAGAATTCAAGGGATGTCCCCTCCAGTAGAAGCCAGTAAGTGTTTATACTCAATGCTGGGGTGTTAAGATGTAAGTCTAAATTAGTGACATAGCACACAGTTATAGGAAGAAACACCTCAAACTTGGAGATTTTAGCCTTGTTATGTAATAAGCCATTCTGTAGCATGTTAACACCTTGGCTAATATTAGCCCATTGGCTAAAGCAGCCCCTTCTACACAGGATCAGGCTCATATGATTTCCCGAAAATGGAGCCCCCATCTCCGCCCCCCAGGTCCCCCAGCAGCGGCACACTCAGAGATAAGCCCCAGCTGCTCCCAGGACAGCTGTCTGTGAGTGACCTTTGACCTAATGTCATGTGACGCTCACTGGTTGCTAATGTCACGTGATCGCACTCGTTGGTTCAGTGTTCCCTGACCGAGAGCCTGTTCCGTACAGGTGAAGCTGTGGTACGACAACGTGGGCCATCAGCTGATCGTCAACGTGCTACAGGCCACTGAGCTCCCTGCTCGCCCTGATGGTCGACCCCGCAATCCATATGTCAAAATGTACTTTCTCCCTGACAGGAGGTACGTTTCTGGCGCAGTTTCCATTTTCAGACTCTTCCTTATTTATCGCGATTGTTAGGAGACCATGTGACCCCCTAGTGTAGAATACTGGATCTTTTTTGGGCTATTATACACCCGTGTGCAAATTAGCTGAAACAAGTTGTTACGCAGACATGCATGTAGTGGCCTGCAGGGGGTGCCAACTCTCACGCCTTTAGTGTGACACTCACGCTTTCAGACTCTCACGCTCAGGCAAGAAATCTCACGACAAATCTATGTTATACCATTATAAAACTAAAATTAGCCGCATCAAAAGTGTTGGGGTAGTCTGCAAACCCTACAGACTATTTACAAGTTAATAAAACTGTTGCATACATGAAAATTAGCGTGCGGACTTGTCTCGAATTGAAAATCTCACACCAGCCAGCTGACCAAAGTTGGTGACACTGGGCCTGGGACCTGCTGGTTGGCAGAGCCAAAAGTGCAGAGCGGGTGCAGAGGGGATGGACAGAGGAGGTACTGTCCCCAGAGACTGGCAGGCCTGCTCGGGTGGGGTTAGAGCTGGGTGGATGGACAGAGGAGGCACTGTGCCCAGAGACTGGCAGGCCTGCTCTGGTGGGCTTAGAGCTGAGTGGATGGACAGAGGAGGCACTGTGCCCAGAGACTGGCAGGCCTGCTCTGGTGGGCTTAGAGCTGAGTGGGTGGACAGAGGAGGCACTGTGCCCAGAGACTGGCAGGCCTGCTCGGGTGGGGTTAGAGCTGGGCGGTATGATTGTGCTTCAGCCATCCATTTATGTTTCAGGTGAATGCTCTGGGGTTCAGGTGCCCCCCCGTGTCGTCATAGGATTTCCTCTGGATTCTGCCCCACAGTCCAAAAACATGCTGAGGTTAATTAGACTTGCCAAATGCCCCACAGGCATGAATGGTGTGTGTACCCTGTAATGGATAGGCGCCCCATCCTGGGTTATTCCCATACAACTTTTATCAGTCCACCAGGTCCTAAATCTGGACCCAAGGTGATCAGTATGAATTAAAGTGACTATGATGTCCATCTTAACTATGGTCAATCTGACTGCATATAGACATGACAACTTGTTTCAATTAATTTGCACAATTGTGTAATTTCAGCCTATGACAAGGCTTGTCTAATGCAGAGTTATGCCTTTCCAGTGACAAGAGCAAACGCAGGAGCAAGACGGTGAGGAAGACTTTGGCCCCCAGGTGGAACCAAACCTTCCTGTACGGCCAGGTCCAACGGAGGGATCTCCGGGAGCGTACGCTGGAGCTGAGCATGTGGGACCAGCCGCACGCTCGGGAGGAGGAGAGCCATTTCCTGGGGGAGGTGGGACTTCCTGCACGAGGCAGGCCTTCGCTGGCAGAGATAGTCTCGCCCACTTCCAGGCGAAAAAAGCAATCCAAAACCCGCCATGAATAAATCAGACCCATATGTTTATGAGATTTGATCCTTAATTATAATATTTATTACCGTGTTGTTATTCTGTCTCAGACTGATTGAAAACAGATGGGACCCTTTACTGCAGTAATGGTGTCGTTTATACCAGTATCTGGTCCATGCTGGTGACGTGCGTGAACATGCCCTGTCTGTTGGCTGGCTGGATAGGTCCTGATCGAGCTGGAGACGGCGCTGTTGGACGACAAGCCGCACTGGTACCAGTTGCAGGCCCGCGACGCCTCCTCGGGTCCGACGCCCCTGCCTCGCAAGTACCACCGTGGGAACGGTTCTAATGGGAAGCTGAGGGGTGCGTATAAGTTCCTTGGACATGGGGGGGGGGGGTAACCAGGATGCCATCCTGGCGGTTGACATTTGGGTATGTTCGGTGGGCACCAGTGTTGCCCTGATGTGTAGATGTTGTCAACCCCAGATGATCCATTTGGGTACTGAGTGAAAGGGGCCCTACAAAATCTGGAACCTAATTGGTTTGGTCTGGGCTAAGGGGCTTATAGGGTCCCAAAATCTCTAGGGGCCCCCTGTGTTCAGATTTTTCTGGGCAGTGAAGACCTTAGACCCCATGCTTGAGCTCAGTGTTGATCTGGTCCCCTTCCTTTGTTTGTGTCCCCCATGTGACCCAGAGTGCGGTTCTAGAGAGAGGGAGAGGTCCGGCAATCTTTTGTCACCTGAGCCGCAGCCCATGGCACCACAGTGGGATGAGCAGGATGAGCCCCCCCAGCCGGCCCCTGGCGTGATCCTGCACAGGTCAGTGCTGCCCCTAGGCTTAGCCAATCACAGCGCACCTGGCTGGGTCGTGTTTAAGTGGGCAGAGATCCTCCACCATGGGTGGTCCCTGGAAACATGGGAAGGAGACCCCAACTTGCTGGCATTGTATGAAGAACTTTGCTACTGTGCTGAACAACACTTGGACCAGCGATAATGTCATCCCTATATCTGAGGGGAGATCCACTGGATCACCAGTGGGGCTGCACATGGAGCTGATCTCCTACTAATTGTTCTTCTGAAGGAAGCACATACCCACTAATTCAGCAGTTAAATCCTAAAAAAAGATCTCATTTTGTGCGAGAAATGAGCTCTTGAAACAGTTTGTTAGTCGTGGCAAACCTGGACCACTAGGGGACGCTGGTGGACTGCATATTCCTGTGTTGCTGCCGTCTGGAGAGTTATGTTGCGTATTAGAGTAGAAACAGCAGCTAACGTGACTTGAGGGTAGGAGACGTTGAAAGTGTATCATCATGACAAATTAAGTATCCAGTGTGGACTGTGTTTTTACTTTTCGTAGTTTAAGCTTTTGCTCCGTGTTCTTTTTTGCTTCTTATGTCTATGCCTGGATTTCTTTCACTGTCTGTCTCCTTTTTTTCACGTCCTTTTGCTGTCTGCATTCACTGGTGCCCCCATTGCATGAGCTCACAGTGACGTCAGTGTGCGTCGAGCGGTCCCTGGCACGAGTGCAGAATGCACAAGGTAAATCAGAGCTCGGGTGTTGTTCTCTCCTTCCTTAATGGGGGGAATAATCATGTGCTAATGGGAGCTTTACTTACACAAAATGGTTTGAGAGTGGAATGAAAAAAAATGATTAGGTCAGAGAGATAACCAATCAGATTGTAGAGGAGGTGGGTCCAAGCCACTAGAGGAGGTGGGACCAAGGCATGTCATTGATTGGTTAGACAATTTGATTGGTTATCTCTCTGAACTAATCATTTTTCTTTCTGCCCTCAGAACAGTTTTGTAAAACTCCCACGAGCTAATCGCATATTGTCAATCACATATTTTCATTCGTCCCCAGTTAGGTTTAAACATTCATTGACAAAGTAAATCCCACCCACAGTGGGTTTGGGGGCCTTATTTTTCACATCACCGATTTCAGGATATGCTGTATATGTTTAAACATAATAGTAGTGGCAGCCAAGGCAGAAGCAAACTGAACGACTGCTATGGGCCCAGTGACCACCTGGGGGCCCCCATCTGCTCAGCCTTTCAGAATTGGGAAGGAAGATGACAAATGACAAATAGGTTAATCCAACTTTGCTTAGGGTCCTGAAAAAAGCTGGGTCAGTCCTGCTTATTTTTGTAAAAGTTGCACATTTAGAAATGGTTTTACTACCAATTTGTAGTAGTTACAACTTTTTAAATGACTTTTTTAATATCCCATTCCTGCATGTGCGTTTTACGTGAATACACCTAGGAACATCTCCAGGTACAATAGTGCACTTCCTCCCAAGATGCCCCTGCTCATGAACAAGGTTCACATGGACATGTGCAGGTAAGCTGGGAGATGACCCAGCCCTATAATTTCCCACTACATCCTCATACGTCAGCCGTAAGACCCAAGCACAGTGCTAGTGATCCTATCCTCTGTAACTGAGGCCGGGAGAGAGAAAAGCTTCTGCTATCAGTGGCAAACGTTGCTTGGTTGCCGATTTGGTCGTGACGCCGTTGCGTGCGGTACCCGTACAGCTCGACCCTCCCCACATCCCTGAGGCTGCAGGTGCAGGCGCGGCCAGATGGGGGCGTGCCTGAGCAAGGCGCTCTCACACAGCACTCACACAGGTTGATGGATGAGGACGGTGCCAGGTGAGATGGCCCCGCTAGATGCTAGATGTCCCACAGGCAATCAGAGTGATTAGCCCCTATTAAAAATACCTCCTCCAAGCCCTTAAACAGTATTGATGTCCTTGTAGCCTCACAGTTAACTGTAGATATAGTCTGATGTGCTTTAATTCTCTTGCCGTTCTTCCTTTGATGCCTTGCTGTGGGCTTAGGGACATTGAGCCATCTCTCTCCAGGGCTAGAAGTGCTAGCACCAACTGTTTGGCTCCAGATGTCAGTCTGTTATCCCCTGAACAAGAAAGGTACACAACCAATTACTTTTTTCATTTTGATGTCAAACTCATTGGCCACGCCTCCTCTGAATGTCCATAGTTTACATACACTGCTTTCATTTTGTACTTCTCCTGTTTCACCACTGGGGGCCGCTGTTGGCCACTCTCAGGTGGACTCGGTCTCTGCCCCGCAGGCAGTCTGGCAGCCCCAGCATACTAATTCAGCCAGGCTCCCCAGAGGAAGAGAGGTACCAGAGACTCCTCTTTACCTTAATGTACTATTGCCTGATACCCGCTGTTTAATTGCACTGAAGTCTGCATTCTGTAGCATGTAGCTTATAGCCTGCGGCTCAGATCAGCTCATTTTAGCTAATTTCAATAGCTTAATTGGTCCAATTATTATCAGCATTTTGTGAATGGAATGGTGACCCCTGCTGGTGACTATGGATATTCAGGCTGTCAGCATTTGAGAGACACTATTGGTTCATTGTCGCTTTTTGGTTGTATTCACCCATAATGCCCCCAGCACCACTTATCTATGATAACTAGAGAAGCCGTTTATGCAGGTATAGCTCAGCGTTCTGTCCCATGGCCTTTCTTTCTATTTCCGCATGCCAGTACGCCCAGATTCCTGCTGATTCTTCATGTTTAGCAGTTGCTTTTCCCACTTGCTTGCTTTAATGTCCACCACGGGCCTGCAGTGTGTCCAGGATCCGGCCCACTTCCATACTCCGGGGAAGCAGAAGAGCTCCACCCCGGTGGCCAAACGGGGAATCTGGGCCCCGCCCTTCCCACCGGCACAGGTGCCAAAGCCACACCCTGTTCCCGCCTCATCGGCGAGCTGAACTCCGCCCCTTCCCCCCATCCTGTGCAGTGTCCTTCCTTCTGGCTGCCCCTCATTCCCACACCCAGTGTTAAACCTAGCTGACCTGTGCACTGAGCGATTGTAGACGGCAGTGAAGCTGTCGCTCTCCCTGTGGTTCCTGTCCTAAGAGCACGTCTCACCCCCTGTCCCTCAACCTAAACCTGTGGGATTTCCTGCTGAACTGGACTCATTTCCACTGTGATTTTCCCTGTGCTGCTTTGTAAAGGACTTCTGACTGACTGTTCTTTGCTGCTCTTCTGGTAATCTCATTGATTTCCTGCTTACTGGAATTTCAGTTTCCATGGCTGCGAGACAAATCCAGATGCTGATCTCCTATGTAGATTCTTCCAGCGCTAGCTTCCAGTGCTGTGTGTATCATCAAGTAGCCAGACGCAAATTCATTCTTGAGGCTGACAGTTACTGATAAATCAGCGCTGTGGCGTTCATCTCCCCCTCCCTTACACAGTCTGTCACTCTCCTGTTTTCTATCTCTTTCTCAGGGCTGTCGCACACCCCCCTTCCACGGTGACCCCAACAGCCACCCGTAGAGTGAGGCAGCTGCCACAGGTGCCCGTGAAAGGCAGCTCCGTTGAGGAAGGTAACCCATGTAGGTGTGCTTGTGTGTGTGTGTGTATGTGTGCAGCTGTGTCTGCATGTGCAGTGACCATTCGAATCCATGTCGCTACCCAGTGGTGGAGGAGCGTACCCGACAGGTGCAGTTGAAAGTCCAATCCTATAGGACTTCTACTACTTGCAATACCACCCATGACCTACAGAGGGAGCCAAAGGGCAAGCGAGAGGTGAGCACTGTACACGGATAGGCCATCCTGTCCCGGTGTTAGCATTCCCATGGCGTGATACCTGTTCCCTGATTCCACCTCAGCGCTACAGGGGTCGACGACGGAGCAGCGACAGCTTTTCAGACAGCGACATCAGTGACATCTCGGCCGTCTCGCGTGACAGCAGTGCCTCACGTGTCAGTAACGCCAGCTACATGTCAGTGCAGTCGGAACGGCCTCGGGGTCGTGTCAGGTGAGTGCGCATTACCTGGTCACCCACCAGGGGGCAGACTTCATCTGGGCTGATGAAGAGATCCACGTCATTGTGAGTCATCTTGTGTGGTGTGTATTAAACATCATGATTCTGTATTTATTTTACGTGTATTTTTGTGTTATATTTCTTTAATTAGATTTAATGTACTTTTTGTTGAGCTGATGCCAATTCCTCAACATGAACTCACACCCTAAGATCAGGATTTTAAAAAATCCACATGCAATATCCCTGTTGATGCTCGCTGGCTTTTTTCTGTAAGTCAGCCCCTCCGTGTTTGCGTCCCATGCCGATGGTTGGGGCTTTGGCGTTGCGGTGAAACGCAGGTCGAAGTCTCTGGAGAGCTGCAAGGGGGTGGAGCGGAGGGAGAGGAGGATATCGTGGGGGACAATTTGCCTGGACGGGGAGAAGGGCAACGGGGGCAAGAACCTCTCAAATGAAGCCGGCAGGAGGCATTCAGTCACGGGGGATCTGAGGTAAAAGGCTGAGGTCAAAGGTCAGAGGTCACCTTCATACAACATGATCTATAGACTAGCCACCATATAGATTGTACTGTCTATAGGATGGCTTGCCTAGCCACTCCGTTGGCTAATTACCAGACATTCATTTGTTCAAATAGACAATAGCATCAAATAGTTGCCCAACAAAGACCCAGAAAAAAGTGATTGGCTTTGCACATGCTTCTTCCCTTTCCTTGGGTCAGCATGGACCTCCAACGGTTCTGAGAGATGGACTCTTCAAGGGCCTCACCTCCCCCATCTCCTTTCACACTCTTCCTCCTAAGCTGAAGCTTGTCCCTCCTCCTCCTCCTCTTCCTCTGCTCCCTCGCCGTATAATAATGTAGGCCTCATTCTGCAACTTCTCCTCATGTTTAGTCACTTCTTCGATAAGACAGGGCTGACTTTCAGCAGAGTTGCTGGTCATGTGTGAAGGTACCATGGTTGGGGATCAGTTAGCGAGCTGAACTTTCTCCATCCGCCGGACCTTCAGCCACCCTCCGGCCGGGAGCCTCCTGAAGAGCAGCAGCATGAGTGGGGAGATGTACCCATCAGAGCGCGCCGATGGCAGCCAGTCCGACCCGGCTCCGGGGAAGCCGTCCAAGCAGCGCCGGACCAGCCTGAGCTCACGCGTGGTGGCCGCGGTGGGCCGGCCCACCCGGAGAAGCAGGAGCACCACACTGCTCAGTCAGGCAGGTCCGTTCCTCTGGAGCCGCCCACGCTCCGTCCAGGAACACCCCCCCCATGTCCCGTACTGGTCTCACCCTGGCACCTCATAAAAATAGGGTCGCAGGTGGGGAGGGGAAGACTGACAGGAGCCAAGACACTAGGGAGAGCCCATGAGTGTGTCAATGTGGATAATGGTAGCTTCAGTTTGGATAAGTGGGGGGGGGGGCAGACATGTATTTGTGGGTCCCTGCTCATAAAAACTGTAGTTCTACAGAGGTCATCTAAACCTAAATAATAAGAAGTAGGAATCTCAGTTCTGTCTTGAGATTGAGGCCTCCTCCTCGTCCTCACTCAGACGCTCACTGACTGCTCTGCTGAGACGGTTTTATACCTCTGTAGCCTTGTTGATTATTCCCCCAAAGAAAGGAACCATGACACAAAGAACTTTCCAGAATCCCAATTTCGTTTGCTGAGCTGGTCTTGCTGCTGCTGCTAAATGGAACGGGGATTTTGACCCTAAAGAGCCACAAGTTTGTAAGACACGTCCTCAGGCAGGTGAATGTGGACTATTTTCCGTTTCTATTCAATATCATTCCATTATTCTCTTGGAAACATTACTGTTACCATTATGTAGCACTTTAATTACTTTGTTTCAGTTTATCCATCCATCCATCCATCCATCCATCCATCCATTCCCCATAACTACTTATCCATGACAGTTTCATTGTGCATTGTGAGCACAAAGCTATCCCAGGATAGCAGAGGGCTGCACAAGGCGTGGAGCACCCTGGCCAGTCCATCGCTTTAACGTAAATTATCTCTAAATTGACTTGTCTGTGGATCCTGGGAGGGGCTGTAGAGCCATAACGCTGATGTCACATACAAGCTAAAGGTCATGGGAGAGGCCACAGACCCTGGAAAAGCCGACTGTGTGTGAACGTGCAGTCTGCTTTATGGCCATTGTTCAGTGCTGATACACTCCTCCTGGAGCTCTTTAAGCCTTATATGGTATGCGTGATCGAGCCCGTAAAGTCTACGGCTGACGTTAAATCTTGTAAAGTGGCCGATAGCGTGGGCTTGTGCATCATCGTCTCACAGCGTGAAGTCGTCCTGAACCGATGGTGACATTTCCCGAACCGTGAGTAGAAGCCTTCTTTAAATTCTCCATCACAATTTGAAGGGTTCTCTTTAACGGGAGGTGATTGACTGCGCTTTGAAGCTTAAGGCCTTTGTGAACTCTGTCCTATAACCTTTTTCTTTGTCTCTAATCGCTTCATTAATCATGACCACAAAATGTAGGCTGTCTGTAAGACCTTCTCATTCATAATTCAGATCCACAGAAATGACCAACATCAGTCTTAGATAATTCTTTGTAGATCAGTGATTTTTTTTTTTTTTACTCACATTTCAAATTTTAAGGAGCCGTAAGGAGAGGTTCTGAAAACACTTAGCTCTCACTTAGCTAGACGTGTTGCTGCTGAATGTAAACACTGAAAAAAAAGAAAACAGCACAGTCTGCCATTTTTGATGTGGTTAAAAGGAGCCGAATGGATCCATTTGCCTTTGGGGTGACACCTGTGACAGATGTCCCTCACATTAAAGGTTTAGAAGGTTCTGATGAGGGATCCTCTTGCCCTTGAATGGCTTCAGCTCTCAAGCTTGGCCACCATTCAGGCCCGAACATGGACGGTCCAGCATTCCTGTGTCTCTGGGCCGAAGAGCAGAGGGGGGCCAGAGTCAGCCCTGGTCTTGGCAGAGCTGCTGCTTCAGCCCCCTGACATCACGCATGGACTCTAATCAGAAGTAATGGAGACAGACGCCTTTGAAGTTGGACCTGATATTCTTTAAAGTCCCATATATTTAAGCTCTGCCTATTTATGTTTTGATTAATGGATTTCCAAAAAAATGAATATAGTGGAGTTCCTGGCTGATCTCTCTGCCAAGCCTGTGGGTAATATCTTAAAAGGCCTCAGGATGATAAATCAAACTGTGACCGGTGCTGAATTTCACTTTAATTCAGCAGATCTGTATCCACATCGCCCATAGCAGGTGGTCTGGTTTCTCTGTCTCTCTTCTTTACTAGCGGCTGGCCTGAAAGCTACAGACAGGACACACTTGGATCTTAACCATTGCATGCAGAGAATTACAGTAGGAACGGCTTGTGATGGGATCTAGAGTGTGTCACGTGATACGTCAGGTGATTCTTCTTCACATGGAAGAGTCTATTCCATATATGTCTTAATGAGTTTGATCTATGGCACCTCTTCTGGTTCATTATAAGATGAGGAGTAAAGATGAAGGACATGTCATACCATACACTGAATTCTGAATATGTCATGAGCCTGAGCTGAAGCCCTGAATTAATCTGAATGAGCCTGAATGATTTGTTTAGCTCAAATATTTGAACAACCACGCTCTCAGTTTGAAAGCGTCACAGTAATCCTAGTCTAGGTCTGAGTTCCAAAACCCTTCAGAGTGATCCTATCATGAGATAACGTGCTACACCGCATTATGTACATTGACATTCAAGTGTACATTTTTAGTTGACGATTTAGTTGGACAGATTAGGTCTCTGTGCCAAGTCCCTGATGACTTAAGATCCTAGCGACACCCCTACTGAATGCCGATACATCATGAGAAGTACGGCTCTCTGTGCAAAAAAGGTCATGAAGATATTGAGTCTTTGGTAGCTCTGTCACAATGAGAGGAAGGACAGGTGTGAAAGCATGTGACCATGCAGAGCATCACACTCAAACAAACATCAAAAACCCTGTGTGTACAGCTCCAGCTGTACTCAGGCACCTGCTACACATCAGACTGACTTCTCGTGCCATTGGGGATGTGTGAGATTTGCCAGGAGTGGCCTGCTTTGGGTTATTTTGGTATGAGCGAGAAGAATAACCAGACACTGGCAAGGGCTGTGGGGTACAGCCGAGTAACAGATCAACAGTGCAGGTCTTATTCAACCACATCCAACAATCCACATGTTTCACTGACCAACTCCATTGACTAGTAGGTTTTGCTCACCAACACTTTCAACACACAAATCTTGCTAAAAAAATATAAAATGTTTAGGTCGTTCTTCTGTTGTATCAGATGAAATGCATCTCACATCCTTGACTTTACTGCCTGTCCCAATTTCTGGCGCACAGTTTCAGCTCCTAGCTCTTTAGCAGACCTCTGCCGATGACGTGGAGAGAGCTTCCCTACTGACGTGTTGACACGCTTGTGTTTCAGAGGCCAATAAGAAGTCGAAGGGTCCGATCCAGCGGAGCCAAGAGACGGGCATGGCAGTGGAGTACCCACGCAGCGCTGAATCGGCCGACGGCAGCATGAACAGCTGCAGCTCGGAGGGGAAGTCAGTACCGCGTGACTCTCAGTGCACTGTTTTTGCCAAGTACAGCCACTTAACGCCCAACCAATGCTCAGCTTTCAGTCACATACCCATGCATGCGTCCAACAATTTAGCCCGGACTGTTGAAAACAGAAATCAGTGGGTGGTGCTCCTTTCTTACAGATCACCTCCTCATTTTCCTTAGATAGGATGGGTTCCTTTCCCATTCCTTCTAAGCAAGGTGTTAAAAATAATCGTACATGCTCAGTCAGACCTGAACCACCACTCAAGCTCCGCTAATGGCCTGCAGCAAAAGAAAAGCTTTGGACTAATTACTGACTGATTAATTGGAGAGAGGATGTTAAATGCGTTCATACTGAGGCATGCCAGTGGCCCACGTCTCTGCCAGACATTCCTGAAAGCACTAGGTCATGGAAACAAGGCTCACTTTAAAGCTGGCTTTGTGCTTGCACGGTGCGGAAATTCAAGTCGTGTCTCAGATAACTTCTCTGTCTCGGCCACCTGCTGTTGGCTGAGCTCGAATAGGTTACGACTGTTATTAAGTCGCCATTAGCATTGAGGGCTTCATCACCGCAGGATCTGAATTAAAAAGAAGATAAATCCGTAAATGAATGGGAAGCATTGTCTCAGTGTGACTTCTGTCTCTGGTCCAGCCTGTTGTTCTCAGGTGCCCAACTGGGAGCAGATGGTCAGTTCAGTGACTTCCTGGACGGCCTTGGCCCAGCGCAGCTGGTAGGCAGGCAGACCTTGGCCACACCTGCGATGGGTGAGTGACATGATTCCCCTTGTCACCCCTACTCCTTCTGCTTCATTTCCCAGCAGCCTGAGTCATTGACTTTGGGTCCCTCCTCCCTATGTGTTCCAGGGGATGTCCAAATTGGCCTGATGGGCAAGAGGGGACAGCTGGAGGTGGAGGTGATCCGGGCCCGTGGCCTCACACCCAAACCTGGTTCCAAATCCCTACCTGGTGAGCCCAATTTCCAGCACTAACATACAACCCTGGGTATCAAAGGGCAACACAGGACAGTGTATCCCAACCCAGTCAATAAGAGACTCTCAACCCAGTCAATAGAGACTCTCAACCCAGTCCATAAGACAGTCCCTAGGGACTTCCAGACAGTCCACATTTTCGCAACAGAATCACGTTTCCCTGACACAGTTCTGTGACCCAACAAAACCCACTCTGCCAGTTGAGAACAGGACCACTTGTTGAAAACCCGCATCTAGGATATTCAGTTCTTAAGATTTTATCAAGTGAGAGACGAGGATACACACATGCAACCCTCTTTAATTTTTTCCCCTGTATTTCATACTGGCAGCTATATTAGTCATTCAAGTACTCAGACTGCACTAACCAACAACACCAATGGATACTTAAAGCATAGCAGGAAATTGGTAATGTGTCAAGAAAGCATTAACTGGCTCATCTTCTGTTTCCTCAAGCTCCATATGTGAAGGTCTACCTGCTGGAGAGCGGTGTGTGCAAGGCCAAGAAGAAAACCAAGATTGCACGGAAAACCCTGGACCCCCTATACCAGCAGGTGCTGCTCTTTGAGGAGCCTCCTCAGAGCAAAGTGCTGCAGGTACGAGCCTCACTCCTAGAATTCTCTTCTCCTATAGTGCTTAGCAAAAATTACATCCCATTTGCTGTCTGTCACCCCATGGTTTCTTTCTCAGGTGATAGTCTGGGGAGACTATGGCCGAATGGACCACAAGTGCTTCATGGGAGTTGCACAGATCCTATTGGAGGAGCTGGACCTGTCCAGTACAGTGATTAGCTGGTACAAACTGTTTCCTGCCTCCTCTCTAGTAGACCCCACCCTGGCCCCTCTGACCCGACGAGCCTCCCAGACGTCACTTGACATTTTACCAGGTCCACTGGGTGCCCGTTCCTAGCTACCATGCTGGAGGTTCGAGCTTGCCCACAACGGACCAGTACCAGAGATTAACAGAACCATCAAATCACTCTGACAGTCAGTCTTTTATGTTCCTCATGTGATTTGTCGATTTAGTTCATGTTCATTAGACATGAGTTAAAGTGATCAGGGAACGAAAAGAGGGAATTGCTATGGACTTCATGGAATTCAGCTGAGACCTTAAGGGTTAAAGAGGTCAAAGGTCTTCAAAGTAGAATCTTTGAGTAAACGAGTAAATTTGAGTAAACCCTTTATCTAGTGCGCTAGCTCTTCTCTCTATAATGTGGTTTAAAAGCCTTCTGGTTAGGTCCAGATCCCCCATCACCACCCCCAACAAAGGGGAGGGAAGCACAACTAAGCTTCACATGTAACAAGAGTGTGAGGAGTGACCCACGTCTACCCTGCAGACTGCAGCCCATAGCTCTCGTGTGCCTGAGTTGATTCTTCTGGTCTTCAATAAGTCTTGTTTTTGATTTGAATTCACTTCTATTTTGTCCCATTTTTCCCCCCAGTAGAAGAAGCACTGTACTGTAGCACTAATCAAACTGACATCCATTTCGCTGGTGTATATCGGTGTACCTTGTGGTTGATATTGCTTTGTGTTTGGGGCAGTGAAACTGTGTAAGAAACTTAACTAAATGTTATGGCACATAAAGGATATCTGTATGTGTGTATGTATGGGGGGAAAAGTATATTTAAACCAACAGGATCTGTAAATATAAGACAATGGGGAGGTCTATTTAGGGGAGGTCATCGTCTTCCTGAGGTCTACCTCTTGCAGATGATGGCCTTGGTCAGACCACCCCCACCTTCCCACCCTTATACTGCAGGCCGGGACCTAGCAGTGCTGGAAACTTGAATGTTTCAGAGAGGGCCCAACCAGTGTAGCCGCAGCTGATCATCAGCCTCATTATGAACCCCCTTTCTCTGGCCCCACATGGGGCCAGCTATCTTCTGTCACTCGTACGGGAAGCTGACAGGTGTTTGACCATGTGCTCCGCGGCCACACAAAGCAGTACTTCTTTGTACCAGACGTGCTTCATATGAACTGTACGTTTTATATCGAAGAGTTTCATTTTTATGGTTTACAAGTAAAAGATTGTGTGGATAATGCACAGTGTTTTGCTGTATTTGTGCACCATATGCAGTTTTTCAGATCAGAATGTACAAATTCAGAATGTACAAATCAATAATAACGCACTTCCTGGTGATATTCACAACAACGGCATCTAGCAAAGGCAATCTCCTGGTGGTCATTTTAAGCTTGGGGTTATTTACATCCAATCAGAGGGACCCCACACCACTATGCTCCACATTATTGCAAAAGTGATAACTGACCGACACCTGATGATTGGTGGAGGAGGTAAACAGGAACCAGGACAAGTGGACTGTACCCCCACCCAAACAGATGGATCACAAAACAAAATGATGACTTTATTTTGCCATTTGTAGAGGTACATTGGGATTCTCTCCTTTTTGAAATATACACACAGGTGAGAGTGAAACTTGTGGTGCAAGTTTAGGGATAGCAATCAGAGATTAAGGCCCTTATTCAAGGGTCCAACAGTGGCATCAGTCTGCTGGCTCTGGGATTCAAACCAGCACGCTTCTGGTCACAGACACAAGTCCAAGAACACTACGCTGCCTCCCCCCCCAGGACTATGAACAGGAAACCGACACTACAGGAGACAGGACAGGGCCAAAAGACAAAAGTGAACAAATGACTATTAAATCAAGACTTAAAGCATGCTAAACAAGACTCCAATAGACAAGAACATAAAGTCTTGCACTCCAGGAGCAACAAGTCTGAGCCACAAACAAAACTTGCTCTCCAGGATCAGAGGTGGAAAGTTCAGTTCCAGAAAGCAGAAATCCAGACCAAGATTTTGTTTCAACTCACCAGTTGCATGCCCTGTGACTATGACTCTATACCAGGGGTGGCCAATCTTATCCGCAAAGGGTCGGTGTGTATGCAGGTTTTTGGGGTAACCTTTAGGTCAGCTGTTCAAACCCAGGTGTGAGGACTCTTCAGCCAATCAGTCCTTTAATTAGTAATCTATTGCAGCGAAAACCCGCATACACACCGGCCCTTTGCAGATAAGATTGGCCACCCCTGCTCTATACTCATCTGGTTGGTTGAAACAAAATCTTGGTCTGGATTTCTACTTTCTGGACTTGAACTTTCCACCTCTGCTCAGGATGCATCAAGCCTGGAAGATCCAGAATTGGTGTAACACTCAGGTTATGCATTTCAGTTGTGATTTTATTTTTCATATTTAGACTGAAACGATTGTCTGCTTTGTAAAGAGTAATTTATTCCTCGCCATGGGTTGGCAAATAATACTGCATACGCAGCAGCTGGCAGGAGTCAAAACGGAAAGTATCTCCAGTATAAACTTTGGAAGAATAACAATCATCCTACACTAATTTTGTTACATGTTTCTATGTCATGTGCAGGATGCATATAGCATGTTGGGTTTGTAGCAGGAAGCGCAAGATTTCTTCATAATCCTTCCATAATCCTGCAGCCCCAGTCCGGATTCTGTGTTTGTTTCAACTGAGCTACTAATTAATTATGCTTAATTGTACTGCTGGTTGACATCTGACAGTTTTGCTTAGTTCAGCAGCTGATTTTTTATGGTACCAGCTGGTACCGAAACCTCTGATGTCCTCAGATAGTGTCAGTGGTCTGTGATGTAACTCTGCAGAACCTATAGCAGTTCTTCTGATGCCCTGAGAGGGGCGCTCACGTAAAAAAGAACTGCACAGTACGGCGTATTTTTCGGTCAGTGAGTATGCGGGGCTCTTTGGCCTTGTAACTTCAGACCCAAATCAGAATGTGTATCCTCCCACGACTAGGGATGACATGCATTACCTGAGTCGTACGCAGCGCTCAGATTCATTAGGGTACTAAAATAGATACTGGATTTCAGATAAATGGATGTCTTTTGTCACCCCCTATCATCTGACAAAGGTGGAATTCTCTAGGGAGATGCTTTTGTTGTTGTGTGGCCTGACAGCTGATCTGTGCGTGGGAGGGACGAATCCCCGCTCTAATATTTCCTTTGTGCGGGTGTTTGCTGTTGCGGTGTACTAAGTTAGGTGCTGATGCCTGGCACGGTCCGGAGCCGAGGGCGTATAAGAGGGTACGGCGACCGGTGCTGGAAACATGAGCGCTTGTAGCATCTGAGCCCTGATTCTCTGTCCGTCGCGTAGCTGACATTGAGGAGCTGGTAAGGTCTGACCCCCGCTGTGGCCTTCAGATTGCTGCCTATAATCGAGACTGCAGGCAAGCAGCGTCAAACACACATCCACTGCAAAGTAGTCGACTGCAATAAGGGCAGTGAAGAGAGCTGCTACGTGGGCACAGATGCCAAAAGCAGACCTCTAAGCTACTGTCTGGGGATCCCTGAGGACTGGGTTAGGATGCACTTTAAACACCTCTGTCAACATGACCTTTTGGGTGGGAAGAGGGGACCTGACCTGAGATGAGCGACAGGGAGTTTACAGTGAGGTCCCTGTCCTGGTTGGGTGCAGTGGGTGCCCTGCACTGGCTTTGTTCCCTTCTTTGACTAGTATGCCTGAAAGGGCATTGTACTGTTCAGCTCTGATGGGGCTGGCAAATATTTGCTGTATCCACTGAAAGCCATGCAGATAATCCTGCTCCAGCCCATCTGACACTCTTCCACTGAGCAAACACGCCGCATGGTTCGTCTCCACTGGGACAGTGTTCATGGGGGAGGTGGAACAGCCTTATTGAATTATTTTGATTTTATCTGTTTTTGTCCTTCAGTCTAGTATCAAACTGGGCTACCTTCCACTAAAGAGTGGTTCCCAGGAGGTTCTTGTACTGGCTACAGTTAAATAATGCAGCTGTCATGTACCGAAGATGCACTAAGATTCCGGATGAAACCGTAAACCAGCTTGGTCTCTTGGGAACACACAGGGTCTCAGCGAGACAAGAAGGCTGAGCACAGTGCCACTTTCTCTGGTGGCTTTGACAAACCACGTGTTAGCTTTTATTTAGCGGATGATTTTGGTGACGGTATCCAAAGACTGTCAGGAAGCCAGTTTAGATATACACGCTACTAGGCTAAGCTTCTACTGAGTGCCTAGTAACAAGTATTAGCACAACACCAAAACACAACACCAAAACACCAATAGAACCAACATCAGAAAAGCTATTCAAATAACACCAGAATAGTCTAGTAGGAACCACATCTAAGAGCAAAACAACAACAAGAGCTGCCAGGTGAAACCATTCCAATTCCACAGTCAACAAAGACCCAAAACTGAGGAGGATGTACCCATAACAATTCACAGTTAACCCTATTCCTTGGACTCTAATTTGGACCTGTCTCTGAAGGAAGCCCAGGGGACTCACCCCTATCCAAAAACGGTGACCACGCTCTGTAAAATCGATTTTTCTCAGGCCCTGCATGAGTGGAAGAAGATACCCATCTCCAGTGGCTACAGGAAGCTCACACCCCCCCATGGTGCATATCTCTGACGTTTATCTGCTGAACAAACACAACCAATAAAATCTCAATCTAGAACATCCCATCAGGACAATTCAGGTCAACGTCAGTATTCGGTTTAAACTTAATCGCCTAGTAATGCGGATAAAGGCTTGTCTTACCAGCGATGTGTTTGCTTTTAGGTAATGACGGGACAATGACCAATCTGTCCGAGGCTACAAAGGGAGTTTATCACAGAGGTTTCCCTTAGTCTAGGGTTACCGTATGCCCGGGTTTCCCTGGAAACGTCCTCTTTTTGGGCGCCTCCCAGGCGTCTGGACAGTTTTCCAAAAATCAGTGGTTTGTCCGGGTTTAGCACTGCAGCCCGTATGACCCAGTGTTGCAAGTTACAGTGGGGAACCAAGTGAAGGAAGAGGCACCAATTTTCAATGTACGGCAACCACTAAGTATCACCATCCAGCGTTTGCAAGGCTCATGCACACTTTTACTTTACGAACTAAACAATATGCACAACCCTATGTGCCACGCTGCTCAACTCCTGAAAAGCATTGGCACTTTGAGTTTATTTCTGTTTTTTTGTGAAAAGCGAATCGTGACGTTTGCATGAAGTTTAACAAACTTTAGTTTTGTAGCTATTGTTGAATAAGACTTGTATACACTTATATTGTGTTAGTTGTGTGTAAATTGTAAAACAAGAGTTAAGTGTAAGGTTACCATACATCCCGGTTTCCCCGGATGCAAATTACAGGGTGGTTAGGGAAAACTCATTACATATTCATAACAGAGGCGTTACCTGATTGGCCGGTGAATATGAAAACTCATTAATATTCTGATCCCAGACATGTCCTCTATTTCATCTCACCAAATATGGTAACCCTACCTTGTTCTGGACGTTAAATGCAGAATGAGTCCACTCCAGTCTGTATATAACCGGGGCAGACTGTCGATTCACCGTGGAACAGTCAATGAGCCTTCAGGAGCTCTACTTTCCACAGAGTCCAGATACCAGTGCAAAGCCGTGGAGAATTCTGCTCCGTCAGGGCACTGATTTATGGCCGTCCGTGCAAGTATGTTCAAAAAACACACCAGGGCTAAAGCCTGTCTCTCAGACGAGCACATTACTGATGTCTCCACGCTCATTATTCATGCCCAGCTCCCTTGATCCCGATGGCCATATAATCTCCTCAGGATTTTTTTGACTGCGGTTATGTGTGAAGGCCGGAGATTGGGCCATCCGTCTGCGCCGTGCCATGCCTGTGTGTAGGGGAATTGCATCGCAGGTTGACAGCAAGCTCGCTACGTCACATCCCAGCCGACAATTCATTTGCCAACATCCGCACGCCTTACGGGCTTGCCGAGGAACAGGAAGTCATACAAACATCTAATATGGCATTTCCTGTCTCACCTGTCATAATACAAAGAGCTTTATGTTTCATGGTTCCTCTTGTATCATGCTAAAACATGCTTGTATCATGCTAAAACATGCTTGTATCATGCTAAAACATGCTTGTGACACAGGTGGGAATCAACCTCATCAATTCCGGGGGTATGTGGTAATATCCACTGGACCACTAGCCACCCTAAATTAAATACAGCTGTCCATATATATTCCATAACTGGTTATCCAGTTTTGTGGATGTGGTTAGCCTGAATCTCATCCAATAAAGCAGTGTTTCCCAATCGGATCCTTGGGGACCCACAGACAGTCCACATTTTTGATCCTTCCCAGTTTGCAGTAGGGTGCTGGGAGGTAGCAAAAATTTGCACTGTCTGGCAGGGAGCTCGGAGGGAGCAAAAACATGGACTGTCTGTGGGTCCCCAAAGAACCGACTGGGAAACCTGGCAATAAAGCACAGGCCACAAGGAAGGGGACGCCCTGAGTGGACCGACTGTCCATCAACGGACACACATGAACTCTCACATTCACACATTAAAAGCTATTTAGAGACATGAAGTCACTGAACTGTATGTTTTTGGACTGTAGGAGGAAACTAGAGTATCTAGCGCAGTGTTTCCCAAAGCTACCCGGAGCTGGGAGGGAGCAAATACAGTACGAGGACTGTCTGGGGGCCCTTGAAGGTTGGGAAACACTGACCTAGAAGACACCTCCACAAACACGGGGAGAACATGCAAAGTCCACCCACACGGAGATATGGGCAGGATTTCAACTCCTTTATCTCCCTAAACCAAATATATCTACATTTAAAGGCACCTTCTAATCCTTTGAAAGTCAGAGAGTCTGAGGTTCTGCTTTATCAACATTTTATCAATCATTTGGACCAAACTGGAAAACCTGCAGGTGCTTTTTCATTTCAACTTCTAAGACGTGTCGACCCACTCCTGTTCCCATCAAGCGACACAGTACATAACAACAACTGGGATCCAGATCCTATGTAACATATTACATAATCAGTTCCATGCTGTTCAGCCACAGGTAGTAAAGGTTATACGCGTGTCAATTACACTGACATGTTACAATTAGTGGAAGAGTGGAAATCAGACTGGCCTGAAACACATACTCCATGACTTAGACAAACAAGCCTGAGGCTTCACGCTACCATTTTTCATTAGCAAATACACGCACATTGGAACGGGCGGGCCCCATGATCTGCGGAACTTCAAACGCCTGGACATGGTTCGCCAGACTCCTGCCAAAAAGATATTAAGTTATATATCGTCAGCGTCTTCGCTCTAGCCCATTTAATATTACCACAGTCAATACTGAGGGAATTATAAGTGTTGGGAATTCTAGCGTGTTAAGCCGGTGTTTGTTAACCTAGGGCTGCGCGCAATAATGTCATACAGACAGAATGCGATAAAAACGAATACGCCATTTTTCATAAACCGGATAAATTTGGCATCGATTTGTAGCGTTTCGGCAGATAACAAACTCTGAAACGCAAGAAGCTGACTGCAGTAATGCTCTAACAGGAGCACCTAATGGAAAACGGTCGGTGCCCACGTTATGTAATCCCATTAAAAGCGCTTTATAAACGGGATACCTTCGCTTTCCCTATGTTCGCTACCTAAATCGTACCTCTTCTGGCCACTAGGTGTCGCCCAAGTCATCAACTTTGTTTTTACACCATTTATGGCTCCAGTTGCCACCCTGCTGACTAAACGCCAGCACCTTTAACAAAGATTATGATCGATTTTAATGAACGACTTTGGCTGAATATTCAGCGAGTTGTTGTTGTTCAGTTAGGCCCGACGCCTTGTGTGACACGCTGACATTCTCGTAGTCATAACGTCATTTCAAACTTGTTCTTTTCAAATTATATTCTCCCAAATAAACATCTGCTCCGTTTTTGTTGAAAAACTTTGGACTGCGTACCTTGCAGTAACCTGTCACGACCTTGTTATTTTTATTGATTCGTTATTTTTTTTAATGGTCAGTTAAAAAGCAACATGCTGTTTCCTGTTTCTGAATTTTAAATGCGCCTACCCCCTTCCTAAACTGCACACACTCACCCGAAAAAAAAACAGCAGTTAGGATAATAAAACGTTTTTGCTGCTGTGAAAGGCAAGACAAGAAGTCATTTTCAACTCAACATTACCCAACAAAGTTGTTTGTCGCTGATTTTATTCATGCATGCAGATTGATAATAATGCAGTGATTTTGCTATCCGCTCTCATGGGCACGCCAGTTGAACCTCGGTATCACTACGCTATATGCTCAGCATGGAGGTGTAAACAAATGCATCCGCACACACAAATATGTCAGCATTTGTATGCGTCTGTGAGCAAGAACTGTAAATCTCCGCACCGAGCAACCGTGCCACAGAAGGACACTGCGTGGTGAGAATGAAGGGTGGCCGACTCCTGGGTCTGAATGCTGCCCCGGAGCTGGGGGGGGGGGGCTGCCCCATAATCCTTCCTCCCCATGCGGTGATAGTGGCGTGCCCCTCATGGCTTTCCCGTGTCCCATTACCGGAGAGCAGCCAAGGCTACGCAGGGCCATGGAGCTTGACGTTGCCATATGCCCTCATCGACGCCATGCTTCGCCCTATCACCCCTGCCCCCACGCCTCCCCTGGGTTCTCGCCGCAAGGCGGCTTTCCCCCATGTTCATTTGTCTCTTTGTACCGTACATCTATGGGGTGTGCCGGCCTGCTTCCACTGAAGTCAGAAAGGGCAGATGACCACCTGACCTTTCACAGGCCTATTCATAGCACAAGGGATGAGGCCGCATACCCTGGTCTCGCTTTAATGTGCCTGATAGGCTGCAAAGGAAGGGGAAGATGATGTAACACAATACAGGAAACAATACAGGTAGAGGACATTATTTTGGACTGGAGGAAGAACATAAGAACTAAATTACAGTATTCTTAGTAATCTTAGTTATCTGACTGAAGTTTAGAGATTAATTATATAGACCTTTACAATGTCTCATCAGACTCCCGTTGTGAACAGTACAGAACTTCTGGAAAAAGCTTATTGAGTCTTACATATCAATGTAAAACTCTCCAAATGGACATTATTTTGTCAAGCTGCACACTTTCACGATTATCAGTGACGAACAGGTGATGAATATGCAATCTGCACTGATGTTCAGTTAGTGACAAATCTCTCTCGGGGGTAAAAACAAAAAACAAAAAACAAATCTCTCTAAATGTTTGGTCAAGACCGATGCAACGAGTGTGACTGCGTTGCAAAGAAAGACCGAGCTTAAGGTTTCGAATTTCAGCGAGGCAAAAGTGAGCCCTTATCCCGTGAGCCATGGTACGAAGCATTTGGTCCCACAGCTGTCTGAAAAGCTGTCTCCAGTCTCACTCTCCCTCTGTAGGCATCTTCTGTTAAGGCGGGTCGTCTATCTCTGTCAATTACCTTCTGAACTTCTGGCAAGACAATGCAGACGTTTAATCTGCTTCATTGCACAAATTAATGAGCCAGATCTTTTTTTTTCTCCAAGCGTTTAATGTACAAGAGGAAATCTGCAGGTCTGGTGACGAAATCCATTAAGTCTGAGGGATTTCTTGTATTTGTGTGTCGCACACATTAGAACGAGTGCGAGCACGCGTGAACTTCTTTAGGCTATATCTGTGAGTGTGACAACATCACGGAGAGGTTCCCGCGTACATACCCATGGTCAAATCTGCCTGTGTATATGTATATATGAAATATATATGCCTCGATACGTGCTGGACACATGCAACAGAATTACTCATACTCATTATTTCGGTGTTTGCTGTCACGTCGTGCCTTACATCGTGTAAATTACATCATCAGACATTCATCAAGTGAGCAGGGAACAGTTTAAAGCCCGGTTTATACTGGAACAATTTTAATAACTTGTTTCTTTGACACGAGTCTGCGTGTGTTGGAAGGCAGTATTTAATAATTATCTTTCTCTGATTTGTCAAGCTGGCAGTTGTTGGCCCGATTGTACCCTTTGCCAGCGCGCGTCTTTTACTGTGATTTGGATCACGTGATGTGACAGAAGCGCGCGGCGATAGAATAAAATATTCTGAGAATGATACTGAGTCACAATGCTGGTAACTCCAGCAAGAAAATTAGGCTTTGATTTAACTTAATTTTTCAAAAGTAGCAGTCTTGACCGGTTAGTTGGTAGATGGAAATCACCCAAAATTAGCAGATGTATGGCTACAAAACTAACTTTATTGCCTTCGGAGTCGAGCATTTAACTCGTTAATGGGACCGTAATTTCCTTTTCATCTGTCTGCCCGAGCCGAGTAGCCATCCATACGAAAATGAAGAGCAGTAACATAAACAGTTCCAATTAACTGAATCGTCCCTGTTCTGCGCAGGAAAAGGGAGAAAAGTAGTTTACTTGATGGGGAAATAATCATCAAAAACTTCAGATATACTGTAGCCTACCCGACATGTGCACTGGGATTCTGCCAAATGGTTTCTGGTAAATCACAGAGATTGTTAAATCCGTTTATTATGAATAATTTATTTGACAAGTCAAAAAAATAGAAAATAAAAGTATGAACACCTGCAGCTGAGGTATGTGCAGCTAAATTGCTGCGATAACTTTACCTATTCAGCCCTGTGTTGGTCATACATTTTAGCCTACTAAAATATTAATCACACTTAGACTCATGTTCAGTCTGAATTGGATTTTTGCAGCATATCTACTTTCATGCAGATATGTTTTTACCATATATTTAACTGCAGGAGCAAATGACATTGTAGGCAACAGTCTGGGCTGTTCGCTCGCATCTGCCTATAGCGGCTCATCTGTTGAACACACTTTACAGTTCAGTACTGTGGGACCGGAGAGCAGCGGGGTTTTTGTCGTGATTCCCTCCCCTTTGCCGAATTCCAGCTGGAAGGCAGCGACACCCCTTCAAAACCCCCCATCTCCCTGCCTTCCTCCCAGATGGCCATAGTCAGTTCGTCTTGCACATCGAAATATTTTCATGCGCCGACCACTTGTGTCACACCGCCTGCATATGAGAAGTGAAGAGTAGATTGGCACCTTTACGACGATAGGATTGTCTTCGCTTCAATTGCAACAGAAATAATATTTTTTACGAGTTTAGTTTTTTGTTCTAAACTTGCGCCGCGTCTCTTCGGATATATGTGCGTGCGCTCGGAGCCCGAAGCGCAGTCCCAGCCGGCGCCGACGATGCCATGCCCCACAGCCGCATCGGAGATGAGGGTGGTACTGGGCTCTGGATGAAGGCATCTCCGGGGGATAGCGGCGAGGGCTATGACTTGAAGGATGTGGAGTCCGGCAGAATGACGATGAACAACGCGGTGAGAGCGGGAGACGGCTTACTGCCGGCTGGCTCTTCGCCGGCGACAACAGGTGCAGGGGGCACGGAGAACCTACTGGGGAAGCGGGGAGCTCGACTGAGCCTGCTGGGAAAGCCGCTCACCTACAGCCTGCAAGGTGGCCGGAAAACGGCGAGGTACCGGCGGCTGCAGAATTACCTGTATAACGTGCTGGAGAGACCCCGAGCATGGGCGTTCGTGTACCACGCCTTCGTGTAAGTGCGCTCCCTCATCCATCCATCATTCAGATTATTGCCTACCTAAAGTTGGTAACCAATTCAAGATACTAATTTCTTTTGTTTAATTGATGTCCCCTCAAGTTCTTAGGATAGATTCATTGGAATGTTAGTTTTTAATGATCTGCGGTCTATTTGAGATTAACACATACCATGCACATATATGTAGCCTTGTAACATACCGCACTGTAATCTGCCCATCAATTAAGCATGGGATAATTAGTGTTAGCTGTTCTCTTCCGCCGAACCATGTTTGCTTGTAGCAGGTTAGATTCTGCGGGTAAGAATACAGGCAGCAGCGCAATAATAGTAATAGTAATATTTTGAACCATCCAGCAAAAAAACTACTGGGATTTCTGCTAGAGAATGGACTATGCTGAATATATAACTTTTAATCCAAGGCACCTCTTTCGGTTTTTAATTTTTTAATCATTATATTATACAATTCTATAAATATTGATATAAGTTTGTCTTGCCTTTAAACTGTTCCCGTAATGTCATGATCAGCTCGTTTAGTTAACAGTTAGCCTACTATGGTTTTGCGGTTAAGATATCGATACTATTATGTAGGCCTATTATTTTTAATGCTGATTTTGTCCGATGGACTAGCGTCCCGTCCAGATTGTCTCCACAAAGAGCATTTGAGTTTAGGGTTATATGTAAAATATTTTATTAATTAACTTTTTTTTTTTTAATTTTACAAAACGCTAAAGTAGTAATTTTGCACCCTTATGTCAACAGGACTGGATGTAAATGAACTTGCTTTCTGTATGCGCATTTTTTTTCCACTCTCGTAGACTTTTGTCAGGCGTTTGGGCGATTTACTATTTTTATCATTAAGCTCACAAAAAAATAAGTGAAGTTTTTCGTTTGTGTCTGCTCGAGTAATGAATGCGTTCAGTTTATTTGGTGTATATTTCCAAAGGAATCCCGCGCCCCTTCCTATGTCGGGCTGGGCATGGTGAACCTCTGCAGCCTTATATACTGCGGAGTTAAATGAATTCTACTCCTGACCTTCTGTGTTGCGCGGCTTCATTTTCCCCATCTGTCAATTTGGTGGCGAATTGCTGCCCCCAGGATCAAGCGTTTTAGCGAACTGGCGAAAAGCAGACAGCATAGCACTTTATAAACTGGGTCCGTAATGAAGAGGTTACGGGATTTAATCTCGAGGGAAGTGCTGCTGTTTCACCCTTTCAGCAAGATACAAAAAGTGAATTTCTCCAATAAAAAACGACACAGTGTGAAATCATAAATAATATATGCAGCAGCTTGAACTTTAATTGCACTGTGGCTGCCTAAGGTCGTAGGAGAGAGTACAGCCTGACCTATTGGACCACCTAGACACCCGGACGACATGCTGGTCTGCTAAGTCTTGTGTCTCGTCAGAGCTGTGATAATTGACACATCTGTGTATTATTATAAACCTTTATGTTGTCTTCAGTGAAACCAGGAAACATAAGGAGCTTTTTATCTCTGCGGCTTAATGATTTTTATGACTGGGGCGTAGCGGTTAACGCTGTAGCCTTACACCTCCAAGGGTATGGGTTCGAGTCCCCCGACGGGCCCTCGCCTGAGCGGAGCTTGCATCTTCTCCCCGTGTTAGTTTCGCTGTCTTCCGGGTGGCGGTTTCCTGCTGCAGTCTGGGTACACATAGATTAATTGGCGTCTCTAAATTGCCCATTCTGTGTGGGAGGGTATGCCGTATGTTGTACTGGCATCCTGTTCGGGGGTGTTCCCCTGCCTCGTGCATGGTGCTTACTGGGATGGGCTCCAGGCTCATCGAGACCGAAAGCAGTTCGGTTACGGAAGACGAATGGACGTCTTTATTGTGACCTGGAGTTCAGACTGGTTTATTATTTCAGCGCTAATTATTTTCTGGCTACGTCATTCGTTTACAGGAGGGATTTTGGAATCATTCAGCGGAAAAAAAATGAAAATAACAACAGCAGTCAGCTGAGACTATGATTGGGGCAATAATGACAGTCACCGTGTCCTGATAGTAATGCTGTTAAAATTAATCAAACACTAATTTTGTCAATGTACTGCCAGCGATGGCAATCTAATGCTCGCAAGGTGAACACTGATAAGGATGAAGGACGGACGTCGACCTTTCCGTGTGAAAGTCAGAGCGCTGGGTGAAGAAGACGCAGCCATTGGCACCGCTAATAAATGCGGGGCTGCAAGGGGAATGTGAAGCAGGATGTTGCTGGTATTTGTTCACAGGGGACGACCCCGGAGTCGGGCGGGGGGGGGGGGGGTGATTATTACGTCTCCTCAAAACCACGAGGTCCCACAGCGCTTAGAGGGATGTTACATTTTCCCACGTGAGGAGAGAGACCATCAAAAGACAAACTGGCGCGCGAAGAAAAGCTGCCGGCAAAGGTCTCGAAGGAAACTCCTGATCACGTTTGGCGCCTGCTTTTTGCATGGAGATTCCTTACCCACTCAGTCCACTGGGAACTGGAGTTCAACTGGCAGCTGCTAGATTATTATGATAGATTATTATTATCTAGATTATTATGGTGGGACAGGGCTCCCACAGTCCAGATGCTTCCAGTTTGGTTGGTGTGTGTATTACATTATGGTTGTCATAATTTGGATTATAGTTATGGCCATAGAAATGAATGAAGTGTCCCCATCATGATACAGATACCTAATCCGTGTGTGTGTTTGCCTATGACGGACTATCCCATACCACTTGGGTTGGGCTCCAGCCTTACTGTGGCCCAGTCTGTGGGTACGCACCCTGGGAAATCGGTGTATGCACAGATGAATGGATGGAAAGGTGGATCACTTCTTTGCGTGACTGATGCAGTTACAGTCACTGGACTGTGGGAGCAGAGAGCCAGAAGATGCTCCGGACAGGTAATGTGTCACAGTGGCACATTCCCCTCGCTGTGGGAGCAGAGAGCCAGGAGATGCTCCGGGCAGGTGATGTGTCACAGTGGCACATCCCCCTCGCTGTGGGAGCAGAGAGCCAGGAGATGCTCCGGACAGCAGTAATTCCCCATCGCTGTGCCCCAATAATAATCTACACAAAAATGTGTTCTGCTAATTTCATTCAAGAAGTCAGAATAGAATAATATACCAATGACAGTTTATTGATCCCTCATGAGCACATATAATAATAATAATAATAATAAATTTCATTTATAATGCACTTAACATGTTACATAGAAGATCTCAAAGTGCATACAGACAGTGAGAGAATGTCACATTAAAAACAACAATAAAAGAGGAATAAAACAGTTAGTTAAGCAGTCATTAAAAACATGGGCTATAGGTGAGAGCAAACTTGGCATCCCCTCCCATGGGGCTGGGGATTAAGGACCGTACTCAGAGCCCCATAGACAGGTATACTCTGCCAAGACTGGGCTCAAACCAGCAACCTCCTGATCCCAGGCATAGAGGCTTAGCCCATTGAGCCACACACTGCTTCTTTGTAGCTTTTATCCCTGTGGTGAAATTGGGTAGTCTTCCCCTATCCCATCTTGTTGTCCATGAGACACACAGACATATTTGGGTAAGAGCAAGTTTAGGGGTCAGAATGAAGGATCAGCCAACATCCAGCACCCTAAAGCAAGGAGGGTTAAGGGACTTGCTCAAGAGACCAGTAGTAGCATAGCTCTGGCAGCCACGGGATTTGACCCAATAACCTTCTGATTACATGCACAAGTTCCTAACCCGTGGAGCCACGCACTACTCCCATTTAGTTAGTTAATTATCTGTTCGGAAGTTGACAGCTTCTAAACTAAATTAGTTGTTTGTGTGTGAGGGATAGTCGAGTAGAAGCATGTGTGTGTGTCTGTTCACATGTGTTTAGAGGAGTGGAGGTGAGGCTGCTGGTTCCTCATGGTCCTGCTGCCTCACATGTCCATGGTGCGAATTACGAGGTTTTTGGATCTCGGTTTAAATGAAAAATGCATTTCACGAGTATGGAATTGTTGGCTGAAATAATGTACATCTGTTTGGGGTCTGCTGAGGCTTGTCAAATACAGATATTGTTCCTGGCAGTTCGTGGCATGTGGAAAATTGACCAGGGTTATCGCTTTTATTGGAGAATTAAAAAATCAAACAAGCAAGCAAATGTCAAGATTGAGACAGAGATTTAGGTTTTGCTTTTACTATGGATGCCGTGCCTTAATTGGTGTATACAGGCCAATCGATAAAACGTGACTAGAAGGGGGGGGGGTAAAATAAATCAGATGACGACAAGGCTTTAAAATGGAATGTTTGATGGTGTTTTCACTAAAATACTTTAAGGTGTGTGTTCCTCCTAAGGAGTGACCTGGCTCAGCATCCTCCAGACCTTAGGAAAGACCACGGAGACCTTTCATTGGGTCCTGTGGGTGAAGGACCCGGCTGTAATGAGACACGCACTTCATCGCGGGGAGTGCGGAAAAAAAGCAGGCTGGGCGGGGAGAGGGGGGGCAATGATTTTTAAAATCTGTCAGGTTATGTCCAAAGGGGCTAGTGTCAGTGCCTGGGGTTTGGAGTACGGCCAGGCACAAGCGTGGCACTGGTGCGGTGTTCCCAGCATGCTCTGCGTCGGCCACCCATAGCTGGCAGCACTCACCTGATTGGCTGAAAAAGAGGCTCATTTTTACTCTCTCCTGTCCCCACCAGGGCAGCACCATGACGATACAAAGATGGTAAAACATACATAATTTAGGATTACGAAGCTTTTCAAGGCATGTCTTACAACGACTGGCAGAACTTTGGAGGGCAAAAGTCAGAAGGAAGTCGGTTCTATTGTGCTGGAGGATGAGAACCTTCCCGTTCGGAGCTTTTTCTCCAATATAATTCAAGCAAAGCAGCACTTGAGAACATTCAGCCTTCATTGTATTGCTGAATTATAATGCATGCTAAGTGATCTGATGTCAGAGACTGTGGCGAAGCTCCAGGTTGGAGATGAGTTACTGCCGTGTCTTAATTCCTATCGGGAGGGATGATGAGTCATAATTAAGGGGCGTGTCCCG